CTTTTGCTCTTACCAAATCGCCTTGTTGATCATTCATGTCATCGCAAAGTGCTTCGTTTTTCTTTTTTCAAATCGACCAACAAAAGGAAGATTAAAAACTGCAGCAAATACTACTTGATAGTCGTCAACGACAATTACAATTCACCTTAACGTTCAATTAAATATTCAATAGTCAAATACAATAAATAATTTTCCTCAGACATTTTTTTTCATTTATAATCATAGTTAAAGACTAGTGCTGATTGACATTGTTATCAGACTCGGATTAATGGGGCGTCCAAGGCCCACGGATTTTAAGGGCCTATTTAGATATGAGTCACTTAAATGTTAAAATACAGTAAATATTTTTTTAATTATAATTTTTATCAAACAGCTTGAATCTTATCAACGATACTATTTTAAATGCGATTTATTGGTACATTCTTATTTATTATATGAAAATATATCTATTAGGTAATTATGCCATAAAACAAAGAAAAGTAAGTCATTCTAGGTAATTATAGTTAATAGATTACAGAATAGATATAGTATAATATGATGTAATATAATAATAGATATCGACGTTAAAATATTACATTTTGATGATGAAAAAATCTTTTTCAGATGTTGAGGTATTACAAGAGCAATTGTATTCATTTTTTTCTTGGGATATTAAATAATACCTTTCTCTAAATATTAACAAATGTAAAATATTTGATATTACTCAGTTTTAATTAAAATTATAATAATATCGAACAATTTACAGAACTATAATTAAAGATTTAGATGTACATTTTGAATCATATTTATTTTTTAAATTTCATCATAACATAATAATTAAATAAATACTAGATTTCATTAAAAGGAATACACCTGTAACCTTAGATCATTTGATCTATATTTTATTCCACACTATTGTAAAAGCTTCGAGTACAATTTCTTTTTCTCATGCGTACTTTTATAGAATAATGAGGTGTCCATTATAGTAAATTTTTTATTCAAATCATTAAATGTTCCAGTGTTATGTATCACTGACATTAAGAAATAAAACGTTTTAAAATCTTAAGTTTCTAAATAAATGAAACAGTTAATTTAATTAATTTACTTGTTTAGTAATTTATTATTATTTGTGATATATTGAAGTTATTGTTGTAATAAGTTGTTACATTCATCCAGTGGTGGATTTTTAATATTTTTTGGGAGATGCCTAAAGAATAAAATATACTTTGGAATTTTGTTAGAATCTTACCTTTCTAATGTGAAAATATCAATGTCTGGGAAGAGTCCAAATCACCTGGACACCCCTCTCTCCATAAACCGACCACTGTATTCGTCAATATGTATTTTTCTATACAGTAAAAAGGCTAATGCTTGTTATATTGTATAAATAAATAAATTATACCTCAAAAATACAAGCCAATTAAAATTTTTTCGTTTTCATAAAGATAATATACATTAACTATTTTACTTAATATAAACTGGGGTTATCCACTAACACTACTAGAAGAGAATAAATTAGTGTTCTAGACCTCTAATTTATAATTACTGTGTACCACTTTAAAAGTCAAAATAAAAACATTTACTGTGATCGAAAGGCGTTCTTAAAGTTTTTTCTTAAAAATAAGAACATTTTTTTTATACTTCCTTCAAAAATATTTTTACTGTATATTTATTTTTATCGTGTGGAGGATCTATCGCCCATATCCGATCATGAAACGTTCATATTGTGAATAACTCTAATTAGGTAAAGTGACGATATAAAGACATTGATATGCATAATTTTTTTATTTAGAACCAGTGGCGTATTTAGCTCTTTGAAGCACTTTAGATAAATTATTCTGCCCCTTGCCTCATTGTATACTATCCACTATTTCATATACGTTTACTATTATTACTAATTAATAGATATTACACTATAAATTAATAATATTCTTAAATAATTTTTTTAAGATGATATTATTTATGTTTAAATTTTTCATACAGTATTTTCTATGAATACAGGAAAAATTGTTTTTAATTTTTATATTAACTTGGAAAACCATGTACAAAAAATTTGTTCTTCAGCAGTCAAAAAAAATCATATTTTTGTTTTTTAGGTCATTGAATTTAAATCTCGAATTAGTGTTTTGATAATCTTTTTTTAATGGGGACTCAGGTAGGTTCAAAATTTGGTTTAGGTCAACTACGTGTGTAATGCATTGATTTATATGTCTTTTTAGTTCACTGAATTTAAATCTGGTAATATTTTTTTGATATTTTACTTTTATAGTAAGGTTAGAAGGATTCAAAATTTGATTAATTTTAAATAACTTTTATCAGTTACTTTATTTTTAAAGTATCATAATTTAAAATTAGTATTCTTACACTCTCCGGGAAAAGCAAACAGTTTAATAGTTTTAAACTACTGTTTAGTTAAGTTTAGTTTTAACTTCAGCTAAGCTACATAAAAATAACTCATGAAGTCTTTTTAACACGTTACACAATAGATTTGTAACAATTATCAACATAAATATTAAATTAAAAAATGTATAAAACGGATAAATTTATCTAATTTATTTCAATTGCACACAATATCATACAAGAAAATGTTCAAAAGAGGTCACTAATTGCGATCTGATTAATAGAATGTCAATAAATTCAGATCAGAATATATCATCTGTATTATAGAATAACAACATAAATATTAATAAAATAAATCAATGGGTGATGATTTACGTAAATATTAGTAGTAGATTAGAAATAAAACATTTGTGTAAATTATGTAAATAATCAAAAAAAATTTACTCTAAATCTGATCATAATCGGTAAAGATAAAAATAATCAGTTTTTTTTCGTTTTATCAATATTTTTATGTTTTAATAACGAATGTACAATTCATTAGCAAATAAGTATAACAAGTTTTTTATAATTAATAACATTTATATATTATGTAAATAATCTATACACTTTTTGTGTATAGATTATTACAAGTTAGATTCATTGAGCACATTTTGTACGGACTTTTAGTGAAAAAAAATAAATGATTTTACAATTAATACAATTAAATTTCAATTATAGGAGAAAGAATTTTTTTCTATTTTAACATTAAATATTAGCCCTTTAAACGTACTTTTTACTGATAAACTTAATAAGTTTATTTTTGCATTTAAATCTTATTTTCTAGAATAAATTAAATAATAAATATATAATATGTCTTAATTTTAACTATGAAAATTCAATCATACACTANATTTCATAAAATTCGGTTCAGTAGTTTCGGCGTCCATCGCGGACAAAAATCTGACATTAGATTTTATATATATAAGATATTTTAAACTACATATTATACATCTAGATTAAAATTTTATGAAATTTCAATTTTTTATTTGATAATTATAGCATAACTAAATCAGAATCAAATTAAAAAAAAAAACTAATTTTGGCTAGATATTTCATAAATTGGACCTACTCGTCCTACACCAATGTTTATAACATATGTCATCCTGCTGAATTGAAATGAAACCTAACCCAATCAAACTCGTAGTATACTTAAAGGATTATAACTAGTTTAATCAAATGTTCATTCTAAATGACTTCTCTTGTGTTTTTCAAGAAGGATGTTGTGCAAAGACCAGTTATGATGTACAACCTATTTAAAGCACTTAAAACACAATGTTATCCTTTGTATTCATATTCATGTGTTACAGATAACGTTCACTCATAGGATATCGTCTAAATTCAACGCGTCCGGTTAAAAAAAAGATGATAATAGTTGATTACAATAGTTGATGCGTAAGCTATTTTTCTATTGGTATTTGACAACAACTACACGGCACCATTATTGTCGTTGCAAAGAATTGGCGTTATGTGCTAAATTTTCCTATATATTATAAACATAATTGACTATTATTTTTTAATGAAAATACGATGAAATTGCGTCGGTGAAAACTGCAAGAGGCCAAATCGTTTTTGTTTCTGGGAACGGAACAGTGAATAAATAAGGTAAAGAATTATCGCACCCGGTTAAATAAGTACGTGAGTAGTTTATTATGAATATTATAATATCGAAAATTAATGCGTGTGCCGCTGAAAAAGTAAATAAATAAATAATAACGGAAGAATAGTGTAAAATATAATACAGAAAAAAAACGTTTTCTAAAGAAAATCGAACTTCCCTATTGTTCGGGGCACGTCTCGCCGTCCCGGCTAATCAGCTTAATATTATTTCGATGCGTCCTCCGTGTTTAGCGATCCATTGATGACGGAACGGTGGGACGGCGGCGGCGGCGGGTCACGATCTGCCGGAGCCTAATGATCGGTTTCGGATTCTCCGCACCGATGAAATCGGATATAGGCCCACCGCAGTCATTGAGTCATAATACGTATGCTGCGCTGGCACGAATGAATCGCGTACGGCCGTAACGGCTGAGGGTAGTGGGGGAGGCTGTTGCTGTTAATGCCGACGTCGGTATGAGACACAAAAGAACATCCGGTGGACACCGCAGGAAATCGGGTAGCGTGTTATGACTGACTGACGGCGGCATCGTTCTCACAGCAGCTGTACAGCAAAACGATTTGAACTTTTTTCAGCTCGCGCGATACTTCATCTTTGGTGGTCAATTAAAGTTTCTTGGTAAGCTCAGGTTGAGCACTTAGAAACATTACCGATATTCGCGAACCACACGATTCTCGTGCAATTATCTCTCATGACTCTACAGAACGTGTCGAGTTTACGACGTTTGTGGTCGCAGTCGCATATTTAATTCTCCAGTCGAACTCTTTCGGTTTTAGCTCCCGACATGTAAATCTATCATCCCCCGGGCGCAGTGAACGGTGCCTTAAAAAGGTATTGTCCTCAACGGCCGTAGTGATGGTGGGGGCGCCAGGTGGTGTATGCCAACCGCGTGTACACATATATGTATATTCAGGTGTTTTGTTGTATTTAGGAACGCATTAATACTTGTATTTCACGAAAAAGTAAGAGGTAGAGGGGTGGCGACGGCGGAGGTGGCGGTGTTGGTAGTGCGGCACAGCAGTTCCATCCGGTGTCTGTTCGAGCTGGTTCAGTTGGTTATTTCGCTCACGACTCGCAACATCATCACAACAGTCGCGTACCGGATCTCGTAGGCACGTTGCCATTCTCATATTAAATTAATTTATACGCTAGTCTGTTGTGCGTTTGGTATTATAAAAAATTGTGTTTTGTGCCGCCAACTGGTGACATTGATTTGTATGCGAGTATCATAATATAATTGTAGTGCTGCAAACCGGTAACAGCGTTTGTCACCGATCTCGTGAATCATGAGAGAAGTCGTTGGATTTTGCTAGCGTCCAAGAAGAGTTAATTTCGCGTTTTCTAAGGTAAATGATATTTGAAGGTTATCTAATTTGTCTGTCTTCGGTAGTAAAGTAGTTCTCGTACATTTCTAGTCAGTCTTTACCTTTTGCCGACAATGTCGTACTCGTGTTCATTCCACTTAGACGTGTTTTTTATCAGTAGTTAGAGACTGAATAAATTTCTGTGGTTTATGGGAGTCAGAGACGCAACTGAGGGGCTTATACTTTAATACGGGCTCTCCAAAATTTCAGAAAAACCATACGTTTTGTTGAAATTGAGCCCACGATGAAGATGTTTTTGGCGGAGCGCCCAAGAAAAACCTCCAAGTGTCTAGTTTTCTGTATCAGGTTTGTGCGTTACAAATTAAGTTCAAGTGCTCAAACACTAGAAATGAATTGATAAGACGAAAAGTAAATTATTCGCGTATTGCTGTTTTTGAAATTCCAACATGATTTTTATTACATTAGTGTTATCATTTTTGTTGCTCGTGGTTACGCCAGACCTGACTAATAGGAAAATCGGCTTCTGACGTCACGCGTCTTTATAAATTAGCATATTATTAGGTCGTCGAGTTAGGTGACCTGATACGCTAAACGTGTAATTGGTAATAAAAAGGGTCAGATGTTTGTTTTAGCTTAAATGTCATGTAGCTTGGGGAGTAAATTTGACGTTACACCCTCGGGCTTTAAATCAACATTTTGGTCGGCCGAGTTACATTAGATTGTGAACGTTATTTTTCGGTAACTTTAGATTAGTAAAACTTTCCCCTGATTAGAGTCGGTATTTACAGTAAACTTTTGTAGCAAGCCGATTAAATGATGACATAAATAAATTTATAATTGTTAATAATCGGCAAATTAGCAAGTAATCAATTAATAAATCCCCCCAGTATGTGTTGATAGGGTCAGGATCTGGAAGCAACAATTATAATTAACGTTAATAATAACGTGGTCAAACAATGAGCCGAAAATTCCATTATTGTCGAAAAGAGAATGATACANATAATTGTTAATAATCGGCAAATTAGCAAGTAATCAATTAATAAATCCCCCCAGTATGTGTTGATAGGGTCAGGATCTGGAAGTAACAATTATAATTAACGTTAATAATAACGTGGTCAAACAATGAGCCGAAAATTCCATTATTGTCGAAAAGAGAATGATACACGATAAAATAATTGTGCTCAAGTAAATTATAGTTGTTGCCGTGCACGAACTAATTTTTTTGTTTTTTTTTTGTAGTACATAATAGTCTCCGGGCGGTCGCAGTACTTAAATCTCATGTGAAAAGTAAACTTTATTTAATTGATTTTGTGTGTCTACCGAGTGATTAATTTTTTTTCCAAATCAAACTCTGGTGACCATATAAATTAATTTTTTTAATTGACTTCTTAGTTATTCGTTTTAATTATTTATTCAAATAATATAACATCCGGTTGTTGGTATAATGTTGTACTAGTTGGTAAGAATAAACATTAAACATTATGTGACCAACACGTACCTGCTTTTCGAGTGTGTCACTCGAATTTTTCAAATTATATTCTTACTCGAAATTCCGTTAAACCAGCGAAATTGCTCTTAATTAATTAAGTTTTACATGTGACTTGTTTCATTAACTTTTAAATTAAATTCACCGTCGTAATTATGTATACTGTACATGTCATTTAATTATTGGTTGTGGTAATGTTTGACTATTTAAATATATTTTTTAAGCTTTTTTACTTGGGAAAATAAAATCTTTGTTCGTTAATGGAGCTCGTCTTTGGGATAAACGAGGAAGTTAACAGTTATTATGACCGCTTATTCGTTTGTTGACTTATTATACCTAACAATTAACGTGTAGGGTACGGGACAGGTTCTTATTTAACAATCATATTATCATTGCAACAATAGAGTTTCCATAGCAGTGAGAACCTGTTGTCTGTTTTTTTCCTTTATAAATCGCAGCAGTAATTTTTTTAAAATACCCAAATCATTTTTTACCTATTGTATTTTTTTATAGCCAAAAATAAATAGTATCAATCTGATTTTTTGCCACTACTTTACCTCGTGTATCGTAAAAAGTAATACAGTGCGCGTCGATTAGTTTTTAGGTATATCGTATTTCTTTTAAAATCGCAACAAAGGTCGTTGATAAATATAGAGCGATTTTTACGGTTGAGTTGTTTCTTTTTTTTTACCGTCGGTATTAGTTGCAATTTTAATATTTCTATTCATATTCAGTTTTCGTTCAATTCACCAAACGCCTATCTGTGTTCATTCTTAAAAAAAATAAAGTAGTTTTACTCTCTTTTCTTTCCGAGTGAAAACCTTCTGAGGCTATTGTCGAATGAAGAAAATAATGTCATGTCACGGCATGCAGTACTTACCTGCTGCTCTCCACCGGGTTTGGTTTAGCCACTTACGTCGTAGAGTGCTATTTAAACGCATAGCATCTAAATTGACTTCCCAGGTGGATTTTTTCCATACTTAAGTGTTGTCCCTGGCCGATGGTAGAAAAGTACGTAATTGTATTTTGATAGAGCAAACCCCATGACTCGTAGGTTTGTTTTAATTAGACAATTCCCTCTGGTATTTGTCGTGACTCGTACAAGTTACTCGGATACATACTATTTATAAATAACCAAGTAAAAAATCAATTGGTTTATTATTGTTTACAAATTATATGGCCCATACTCGAATTTACCGTCGAAACCATAATAAGGTACTCGGCGGCGGCGGCACAGTATTCATTGGCGTCGCTATATTCCCATGATTACTTTCATAATATGATGACGAGTCAGCGTGCTTGAACCGTGTAATTACGAACCGGTTAATTAGTTTTCTTGCGCACACATATCGGAAATCACCGTAACAGTTTACCATTCATGATCGAGATGTAATTTATTTTGGACAGAATGCGCGCGATTGTATTTATTATATGTAGTTCTTCGTATTAGAGTTTTGTGTACTGACGTCTTTGTAGTAACGACGCTGAGCAAAGCGCATTGTGTACAAAAGGTATCGGAATGAGATCGGCTCGATGGAATCCGCACAACTGGAAATTAAAAAAAAAAATCAATCAGAATTCTTGGATTGTTTTCCAACGAGGTCCGAGTTACACATGCCGTCCGAATCTCGATCGAGAGTATTAATCGTATTAAAGGACACGAGACGATGAAATGTTTACTCTCGAGACGTTTCGAACGATTACCGTGAGAATATTACCCGTAACACTTTTTTAAGGTCCGGAACATGGTCCAGGGTGGGTTTGATGTTAAAGTAATTATCGGACGATTTAAAACGTTCGCGAACGTGTCTGCCGGTTAATAAAACGCCATTTAATTGTCCATTAGAATACAGACGGTTTTGTCAGTGTAAAAGTTAAAACGTGTTTCGTGTACACACCTATCCCTTAACAACGACCAAATAATAAAAAACTATCAAATAGCATTCCGAGTTTATGTATGCGCACCAACCCGACGTGTGTTTGTACAATACAATATATCGACTCTGTCGGTAAATGTGATGTTTATGCAAATCGCGGCGTTCCCTCGGACATTGCCCATGAACTGTTCTGTTATTAGTCTTATTTATAATTCACATATATATATAAACCTGTATGATATTTTAATATTACAATCGCTTAATGTTTTCGTTGGTATCATCTCGCACACCCACGTAAAAAAATTCCATATTTACTCGGTCGTCGTTGGTCATTATCATGTTGGCGCACACCGGTCGGACACATGTTCCCATTGTGTACGGTCGATGCCTGAAACGCACGATTTTAATGACCCATTGAAAATATGAGAAAATATATTAAATCCAACAATGGTGTCGTTTGATGTTTCATTCATATTGATTAGCAACAACGGAAGAATAACAATATTGTTGTAATATGCGCCGTGTCCGGTCGTTCATAATAAAAATATCATCAGCCGCCGGCGTTTACGCAACGTGATGTGTCGTGGTTATTCAATGGGCTTATCGTAGTAAATAAAAAACACTCGGTAAACTCGATGGAAGTCGAAAGCTGAATTTGTTCCGCGATAAATTTTTATCTCTCAACTTTTCAATAGCCTCTCCGGACGATATCGTTCACGCTTTTTGTCCAATCGATGTTGTGTCATTCGAACATTTTTTACTCTTCGATCGCATGCCGTACTTTCCCATAGCTGGGGGAATAGTTCTTTTTAATTTGTGTTGCTTTGAAAAACGTTATTTTATCATTCGCCTATGCCTCCTCCTTCCAACGAGAATTGATTCATTAAACAGAATTACCGTAGATGTCTAATATAAGAATAATTGTATTTAATTAATTAATTCAGTCTTGATTTATTTTCCAGTTGAAGTCACGACATTGCCAAGGGATAGGGTAATAAACATGGAAAATCCGGCTTACAACCCGGAGGAAGGGCAGCGTATGGCCAACGAGTGTCTGGCCGCGAGGTTATTGTCCGGAAAGGACAACGTAGCGGCCGGAGGCACCACGGTGTCCACCATTTACGACCCACGCGTGTACGGCACCACCGTAGTGACGCCCACGCCGGGAACATTCCAGTCTGTCCGGCAACCTAAGAGGTGTACCTGCTGGCAACCGCCTTCGGACATACCGCATTTGCATAAGTGCAATTCTCCACCTAGGCCCATGTGCCACACCAACATGTTCGCCCTATACACGTTTCTGTTCTTCGCCGCACTCATCTGTCTGGCCACCAGCATACTCCTCTACGTCACCCGTGTACAAGGTGAGATATATTTGTGTATGGTGTTTTATTCGGTCGCCGTGGTAGTACCATCAATAATTGTTAATATTATTCCCATTAATATCGCTCTGTTGCGCCTATCCCCCCAAAGTTCTATTGTACCAAAGCCGTGGTGTCGATGGGACACGAACGGTCCGCGGTGAAGTAATTCGATTTTTAAAGCAAACGACAAAAGAAATATATAATAATATAGCACAGTGTATGATGTACGTTATTATTAAATGGTTAGATCGGTAGTTGGATTACATTGTACGGCCCGTGATAACATCTTTAATACGTCGTTTGTGTGCCCGAAACGACTGAATGCCATTCAAAACCTTATTTCAATTCAACGATGAATCCATTGATAAAACTAAATTAACTGTGAAACACAATTTTATGACGCTTAGTGAAGTTCTTCGCCGATGTAACGTTGAGAAATCTGTTGGTATCAAACGCTCCAGCGAGCAAAATAATTTCGGTAGTTTTTAATTCTCACTAAAGTAACGGCGACATAGTTAAATACTTTTCGAATCATACTTTACTACTCCTTACGTCTATCTAAATATTAGTCGTTTCAATCATCACTACACAATACGGTTGATTAGTTTTTTTATCTAGATAATAATCAATCAACGTTATTCAAATTTGAATTTTACTCTAAACGAATAAAACAAATAAAGGTTATTTTATTTTACGCTAAACATTTTGAACGCACATTGCTCGGAAATTAATTATTTCAATACGTTGCGTCTAAAGAGTATCTCCGATGCGATAATAATGACTTCTGCTTGTGGCTCTACATCTATTCATACTACTTATTTCATTCACTATAGTATACAGTTGCTTATAAAAAATTTTGTTTCGTTGTAGTTCCGCACAAAGATAAAATTCCATTAGTAGTCGAAGGAGAATTTCAAATCACGAACATTCCTTACACGATTGGTTTTGTCAATAGAAATTCTTCGGAGTTTTTAGCTTTGAGTGCCAATATAACTGCTCAGGTATTTATCGGTTTAAAGTTTCACGATAATAATAATGTTTTAATTGATTTTATATTGTAAATTAACAGCTGGACGACACGTTCAAAAATAGTGAACTGTTTTTGTGGTACGATGGCTGTGAGGTGACAGATATGAGCCCCGGCCAGTCGAAAGGGATCCAGGTGCAATGCGAAATCAAATTCTCACAAGAACCCGAGGCAGCCATCGGAGTCGGCCAGATTGGCATCGCGTTTCTGAAAACGCTGCGCATACAACACGGTCACACGTGGCTGGGCAATTACAGTGTGGACGTACAGTCCATCGGGTTCCAAGGTATACATAATATGAGCTAGTGCTTATGAGTAACTTTAGACCACCGTGACAGGTCTATCTTACACTGCGCAACGATTGCATTATGATATGGTGTAACTTGTATGGTTTTAGTGAGTGGCGAACTGGGCGTTTGGACCGAGTGGTCGGAATGGAGCGGATGCGAAGATCCCGGAGACTACGTAGCCACTAGGACTCGGAAGTGTCTGACTCGAGACACCCGGGAGCCCACCAGCGTAGACCGTTGTCTGCTCATACCCGGTAATAAGAGTGACTTGGATTTGATGCCGTGCAGGATATACTTGTCTCAAAACTCCGACTTGGACGAATACTTTACCGTACCACCCGCTGTACCGACTTCCACGGCAAAAGCTGTTGTGGAACAGGCTCCGGCTAACAAAGCCTCCGAAAATGGTAAGTAATATTTTATCAAATAACTTCCACTGTGGACGTCATTATTAATTGGTTTATGTTTTTCAGTCGAAGACAATTGGATTTGCGACGAGTGCAAAGCTGACGAGGTCTGTTTAGCCGACCGCGACGAAGGAATTCTGCAGTGTCTGCCGAGTTTGGACGTTAAAGATTTAACCGGTTGTGGAGGCCATTGCGGCATCAACACTCAGTACTGTCAAAATATTCACAGAAATGCTTACACGTAAGTGCATTATTAATAAAGTATTGAACTTTCGTCGATATTGCTGCAAAGATGTCAATTTATACATCATTTATGTATAATTGGTAATCGTATGGTTCGCATGTAACCGCCGACGTTGCCGGTCCGCAATGAACCCCTAAAAAATAATTAAAAACTTACTTTTGGTCCGTTGCAATTCGACATTCATTTTAAAACGTTCTGACGTGCTGTCGAATTACTATTATTAAATCAATCAAAACAAACACTTAATGGTAATCGAGAATACTAACGAAACTGGTTTTATTAGTCGGAGAATCGACTGCACTTGGTTCAATTGAATTGTTTTCTTTGGGTCGATTAACCGCAGCCTAGAAACCATGAGTCCATCTTTTTAATCGATTAACTTTTCATTAATCAAAATTTACGTGTTCATTGTAATAATAATTCATAATAATAATAATGGTATTTTGAGTGTTTATCGGGAAATTACTTTAAATGATTTTTTTGGTCTTGCGTTTTTTTTTTTTTTTNTTTTTTTTTTTTTTTTTTTTTTTTATCAATTTTTTAATACTTTTTTAGATGTGTGGATACGTCGTCATGTTCTAAAAATGAATTCGAATGTGCAAATCGTATGTGTGTTCCGGAAAAGTCCAGATGCAACGGCACATTTGAATGTGTTGACCAATCCGACGAGAAAGACTGCGGTAAGTAAAACTCAGCAATAAACTGTCTGGGAATTTCGTTGAAAATAAATATACTAAATTATTTTTTAATCCGTTTAGAATGCGATCTGGATACACATTTTCAATGCGGTACACAATGTTTGCCAAAAATTAAAATGTGTAATGGCGTTTTGGACTGTTGGAACGGGCACGATGAACTGAATTGTACACGTAAGTAATCCAACTGATTGTCGATTGAAAATATGTAAATATGCGCTACGGAGGTACTGTGATGCGACCCAGACTATCTGTACGCCCGTTTATTAGGTTTCTGATTTGTTTCTATTGAAATTTAGATTGCGAAGACGGTAAATTCGCTTGCAACACATACGATGAGTGCGTCAGTGTGCATAGGTATTGCGATTCGTATGCTGACTGCTCAGATAAGTCAGACGAACCGTTCGGTTGCGACATTCCCTGCAGAAGTAATGAGATAACTTGCAGGTATAATCAATTCGTCGCACTTCTTCCTGTAGAATTGTTGTCACGTTTCAAAAGAAATTGTTCGTTTTTTATCCGTAGAACGCTCGAATCGCTCAAATTAAGTGCAATACGATTACAAGTCATTTTTTTTTTTGCACCTGAATCGCTTATGCACCTAAAGTAGCTTAGAAGTAATTTTCAACGACACGCCTTTGTTTTATAAATTATGTATATATTGAAATATGTACATAAATCTTTCAAGTAAAAATTATATTTTCACTTCTTGTCCACTCTAAATGAATTTATTTTGCAACACAGTGGGCGCGGTTGAAGTGTAGCATACTAGATTGGTGTTGTATAGTGTCATTTTTAACCAGTTTTTTTTTTATGTTACAGAAACGGCCGATGTGTAAAAATCCAACATATTTGTGATGAGTTAGAAGACTGCGGAAGTGAATCTGTTTATAATGAAACGTACTGTCAATTTGTGAAGTATTAAACTGCTAGATATTTTGTACAGACTTGCACAGAACTACTTTAATATGTTTATATTTATATTGTTATTATTCTATTATGTTGTAAATTTAATATTTATTGAATAAACCAAAATTATAGTTAATTTTCTAGCAAACATGTATTTTTGTCGTCACACTCCACTCGGACGTTAATCGTTCTCTTCGTTTGGTGACTAATGACCGACTTATTAGTTACTGAGAAAAATAAATTTTCAAACAAAAAACACCACGCCTTGTAATAATGATTATCCTACGAAAATCCGAGTGTGTTGTGTCTAATCAAGGCATATAAAATAATCGACCATGACTCTGATTTCTGGAAACTACAAGGTCATTGCCATCATTGGGCACTGTTCTTCGACGACAAAGTTTTCCCGTGATCATCTGAGTATGACGACTTACGTTACATTCAAAAGATATGCGACATGCAGTGCGTATTGACAGTCGACTGGTTTGGATTTAATGAGTGCGCTAAACCATTACGTCCTCAACTGAAAAGGATTGTAAAAAGTGTACAATGTTTCTTATAGATGTTCCCAATTATATTCAGTCTAGTCCTTTAGGACGTAAATGATTTTAATGAATTATTCAATTGACTACATTATAAACAAAACAACAACTCGAGTAAAAACAGGATTGTATTAACCCAAAAATTAACTACCGTAATTGTGTTGAAATTTTAAGTTCATTAAATAACAAATAATTTAATTAGAACTTACAACTGATTATATGTTTATTATACACATAATAACGTAGTATAAATTGTGTTGAATGGATGATCATTTATACTTGGAAGCAACATTTTGGGTTGGATTTAGATTTTTTGATATTCTTAAAAAATATTAGTAATACAAAATGTTGGGTTTAAAACAAAACTATTTTTCACTCGAAAAAAATAATCTTTTTTTTTTAATTGAATAATATTATTGTTGTTTGATATAAAAAATAAATAATTTAGCAGGTACAGCGCAGTAAATATTTTAGGTTCGTTTATAATTAGTGTATCCAACATTATTCACAAATAAATGTATTATACAAAATAAACACAATTTCACACACTAAATTTTGAAATTCAATTAATTTAAATTATATATCTTGTTAATTTTTTCTATGTTATCACTAACATAGAAAAAAATTCACATAAGAGTTGTCGAATGACATTATAATAATTATTATTGTATTCAAAATCTTTTATGTGTATTTTTTAACACTTACAATAGTTTGTCATTAAAAACATGTAGTTTTTTAAATAAATAATAGTGAGATTAATATGATTTTTTGATTAGAAAAACTGCAGTTTTGGTATATCATTAGTACAGAATCACTAACATTAAAATGTAGATCATTAAAAAAGTACCCAAGAAAAAGATCCTAAAATTATTGTAAATTTAAAAAATTCAATTTATAAAATATTATATTAGATTATAAATATTATTTGAGAAACTCCCAAAATATTTTTTGTTTTTAAGCGTATAATGTACAAAATTGTTCATCTAAATTTTTTTAAATTTGTATTTAATTAAATTTATTCTTAATCTTCTTTAATCATCATGTCAAAAAAATAATATTTTTTTCAGAAAATTACAATTTTGCATTGTTTTCATTTAAACAAAGAAGACATTTCGTCCTCTTTTTAACCGATTGGTTTTTGTGGCAGAATTGTATTTCATTTAACAACTACTTATAGTATGCAATTTGTAAATTTGTTATTGTGGAATCTTGTTTCTAAGAATAAAATTTTTACAAACATAAATTAATATGACAAGTTAATTTAAATTTTCAAAATACGAAAAAAATTGTTTAGATATCAAGTAATAAGTTAAAAAAAATAAAAATAAAAATCTAAAGCATCTCCTTATTTTCAAACTCGAATTTAAAAACACACGAGAACGTATCATAATTGCATACCCAACTTGCCGTCAATTCATTATTAAAATTACAATGAATTTTATTAGTAATTATTGCCATTGCTGTGTACAAATATACAAAGTATATTTGAGTATATACAAATAGACAAAAAGAATGTAGATTAATTTTTAATTTATAACAACAGTATTCACTGGTTATTTGTTTTTTAATGATTTTATATTTTTCAGGAATAATTAAATATGAAAATATTACCTGATTTAAATAGTATTATTTTACAAATAAATGGTAAATTTTAACTATAACGTATTAGTATTATTCAAATAGATAATAAAATGAAAATGTAATATTAGTATAAAATAAGTAAACAGTATCTAAAATGATAATAATTAAAAAGTGATTAATATTAAATTTTAAAACATCACAGTTAAGACGAATTAATATAATAAAGACATTTTTAGATGTCTAATTGAATATTTTGTTTTGCAATAATCGCAATTTTAATTTTCTTAACATTTTTCGTAAATTTCGATGTTAATTTAATGCTGTTTCATAAATTATAAAATCAGTTATATGTATTTTAAATAGACATTTTTTTAAATTTTGATAGTATAAATACATTGAGTAAAATACAAAAAAACATTTTCCGATCAATAAGAATTTGTAACTATCTGTTTTCAAGTATTATTAATTGCTTTGAATAAATGTTTTGTTCTGTGTTTGTATTCGTATAAATGTGAATTCTTTATTTAATGTATTTTAACACTTTGGTAGAGCTACATTATTATTAAATAAAAAAACGTTGTTTTAAATTTAAGGCATAGAATTTTGCAAAAATACTCGAAACTAAATAATCATAGAATTGTTTAATATCTATACTACATTGCTGATTGAATTATATACATGGTGGTCTTTTTATTGCTATTCACTGGATTAATCTTAAAATAATAATATTTATGTAAGTTTTTGGCTTTGGATAATTCCATATATATATATATTTATATTTTATAAAATATTTTTACGTTCATTCCTTATATTTTATAGAGGTGATAAATTATTTTTTTTAATGGCAACATAAATATTTAACTATTTTACAAAATAGAAAATAATGTAATTAATAAAATTACTTATGGATTGAACATTAGAAACATTTAATAAAGGGTAAATATATATACTATCCAAAGCTAAAAAAATGATTATTTTAAGATAAGTCGAGTGGCTAGCGTTAAGAGAACCACTCTGTATAAGTCTATAGATGCACAACATTTACATCGAGTAAACACACCTATACGTTACTTAAAAGAGGTTCCTGTAGTTAGTTTAATAAATGCACAATTGTTCCACGTGATCGCATAATAAAATTTGTCAATTGAATTATTTTTCTTGGTTTGTTGCATTTAGCTTTGAAATATTATTATATGTTTTATGTAGTGAATAATTTTGCCTTCATTAAATGATCATATTAAAAATTTCAATAGCCAAGAACAGTATAAATTTGATGCCCTTTTTGGACACACAATCTGGACTGACTTTAAAAACTGAGATCTCTTAATTTTATCAAAACTTCTTATAAATAAAAAAAAATATTTTTTAAAAACAAAAATTAATTAAAAATTTGATTTAAAAATGATACAGTAGAGATTTACAAATTTAAAAGTTTTAAGTTTATTCTAAATCAAAACGTCAATGAGCACATATACATGTAACTATTTTTTTAAAAACAATCTTTTTTCAAATAAATTCAAAAATATACTTCATAATTCACATTGGTTCGTGATAATTTCAGAGTAGACTGCAAAAAATATAACACTGCATTTTCTAACACTAGCTTGTATAAGAAAATAATATATTTTTTGAAGAGTTTTGTCTTTCTAAAAGGTGTAAATATTTCGAACCATAGTAATAAATGAATGGATAACTTGAGAGTGTATAATAAAGAGCGCAGTTTTTTTTTTCTTTATTTCCAAAATTAGGATTTTTCGTAATAACTCCTCGAGGAATCCACAAATAGAAGTAAATTTGGTATTTCACTCAACATTTTCATACAAATTAAAAAAACACTTGATTTTCCAAAAATATATTAAAAAAATTTTTTTTTGTCCCCAAAATGACCTTTGCTAAAATTTTCCTTTTTAACAGTTAGATAATTTACGAACTTTCATAAAACTTACAAAAGAAGAACTGAAATAATCTAATTTTTATAGTTACACGATATAATCAAATGTAAATAACAATACATTACTACCATTCTTAACTACATTTAATTATCATGAAACATTTGCCCTTTAATTTTAATATAAAATGATACAATAAAATAAAACAAAACGGCTTTAGAATTTGTATCTAATAGAAATAAGGCGTTCAGTAAGTAAGGAAAAGGGTTTCTATTGTTGTCATTGTTTGTAACAATTGATCTGTTTCCTTACTTTTGAACTCTCTGTATAAGTAATTAAACTTGCATATTATTAATGTCTAAAATTATGGATTCCATTGATGTGTAAGTATTATTTGCCTGACTTACATAGGTAAATGAAATATTTTGTAAAAGAGTAGGATAAAACTGGGTTGTTCAGTTATATATATTTGAATTGTATGAATAGTACGAGCAGGTAGTTGGCATACCTTTACTATTCTATTTTCTTTTTGAACATTCAAAAGCAATTTTAGTATGAATATTTCAACGATTGGTCTCTTGCTTAGACAATGTTTATGAATATAGGTAAGAAAACGGTCTAGAGGTCTTCTTCACTCCTACTTAAAATATTCTATGACCTACGAAATACAATATATTTTTTCATATGTGAATGTCTTTCTAATCAGAAATCAAAAATGATAAAATTACACTTTGGAAATAATTTTTTTTTTCAATTNTTTCCTTATTTACTGAACATCGTTTAAAAGTACTTAAAAATTCTTATACAGAGTGTTCAGTAAGTCAGGAAACGGGTTTCTATTGTTCTCATTGTTTGTAACAATGAGAACAATAGAAACCCGTTTCCTGACTTACTGAACACTCTGTATAAGAATTTTTAAGTACTTTTAAACGATGTTCAGTAAATAAGGAAATAGGTCAATGTTACAAACAATGAAAATAATAGAAATTCGTTTCCTTACTTACTGAAAATTAAAGTATCACAGTGGTAGGAAAAAAATGTATAAATATATTGTTACACGTAATAATTTAATAACAAACAATATTAGGAATAGATAACAAATAAATCATCTGGATAAGATAAAGA